TTAAACACTGTGGCGATACTACTTGTTTGGTCTGATACGATAACTTAAACACTGTGGCGATACTACTTGTTTGGTCTGATACAATAACTTAAACAATGTGGCGATACTACTTGTTTGGTCTGATACGATAACTTAAACAATGTGGCGATACTACTTGTTTGGTCTGATACGATAACTTAAACACTGTGGCGATACTACTTGTTTGGTCTGATACGATTACTTAAACAATGTGGCGATACTACTTGTTTGGTCTGATACGATAACTTAAACAATGTGGCGATACTACTAACTTTTTGAGCCGGATGTGACAATGTTGGCCATTTTGACAAAATTCTCTTCTGTAGCTTGGCGGGAAAGTTCTAAACCATTTTCGAGTACGAATTGTAACTCCCGATATGGTGTCACGGGACACTTGTAGCACCATATGTAGTGTCAGGGGACAATTGTAGCACCATATGTAGTGTCAGGGGACAATTGCAGCACATTATTTATTGTGAACTAATGATTCTAGTCATTTCTTTATTATAGCTACAGTATTCTTGGACTTCATTCAGATTGTGACGGCTTACTCAGGTAGAACATTTCTGTGTAGAGACAATAGTCACTGCACTGGAACAGTCACATGCCTCTTAAGAGACCGTTATGTACCAGCATGCCAGCTCGACGTAAGTTGCTTATCCTTTACAGGACGTTGCAGAACCAATACCGGCATGTTTTGTTTTGGCGGTTGCGGTTTTTCTAGACAATTTTACGTTCAGTAGTTTGCCATTACTCAAAGATTGGCTCTCGATATCACTGTCGAAACCAACGCAAGACAGTCTGGTGTCAAATCGCCTGCAGCTGGGATCGAACCCAGCATCCTGGCGTTACGAAGCGCGTCCTAAACGCCTAAGCCACAGACGCTCAAGCAGCTGTTAAAATAAGTCATTTACAGAGCGCATGACAAATCGCCATCTGGTTGACAGGCGCCCACCGGCTAGCCGGTGACGTCACGACAGTAAATAAGGCAAGAAGAGGGGCAAGGGTCAGTTTTGTCTGTTAACGAGCCAGACAAACATCGATGGACAGTCCCTAACAGGAGAAGAAAAGCTTCATTTGACAAACTCCTTCCCACAAAGCTTGTGGGGTTTGTAAGGTTAAACGGCTATTGTGGCAGCCATGATTATTCTCCGTGTGTGGCGAGCAGTCACGTGACTGCAGCAGGGGCTGTATTGCAGCTGTGTCCGTACAACAGCCGCGCAGATCCAGTTGTCAGTCACTTGTATACAGCTCATACTTTCCCGCGCGCTATGGAAATCAAGAGCTGAATTCGAGCGGTCGGGTGGGGAAAACAGTTGGAGAAAGTTAGCAAACAACATCAAATCGGAATCGCCTTCCTCTAAAGATCGTCGCGGTATTGTCTGCGATTGTTCCATAGTTTAACAGCCGCCCCAGCTGCAGCTTTACGCCAGTTAGCACTTTTATCGTCTGCCTCGTTCCAACACTGGTGTATGAAAGAATCAGAAACTCTGATTCAACGTTTACTGTTTTCACACGGCCATAAATTTCACTTTTCGCCTTTGAATAACTTGACAGAGTTGCTTTTTTTTAAAAAAAGAGAGAGGGAGAGAGATATCACCCGTTTAAAATTGCCGGTGGTCGATGACTTTGTTAAAGAGACCAAAACGTTAATGGGTGGAACCCGTAGTTGAATGCGAAAAACGCGTCGGTGTACATAATGTTCACTTCATCGTCGCGTCCAACGAGTCAAACGCCGGCTTTTCTCTACTCGCTAATACTGTTCCTCTACAATACGGGTCTTTTCACACTGGCAAAAAGCAATCTACATCGTAAACACTGCGTCAATGATTCTGATTGATATCGCGTCCATTTTCACACAAATCTACGGCCCGGGCGTTTCATTATTCTCTCCCCTGCTGATTGCTTTGACCGAATCAGTGTCGGTAATTTCCCTTTATGGATTATATTTAGATCAGCTGTGGGTCTTGGGACAATTAAAAGTGATACAACGATTTCAAAGTTCTGTGTTGTATAATGGACTGTCGTCAACAGAAAAGGGCGGATATGTGTGTGAATAAAGCAGCATTTGCGTGAAATAAACCAGATTTAATGACATATATACATTTCAGCAAGCAGTTGAACATAATAACGTTTACGGTAGCGCAGCGATGGAATGCCAGCGCTTATGTACACGAAACAGACTAACTTCGATTTTCTCGTTCAAATATCTATTAATTCAAATGCTAAATAGACGGCTATGTTAATCGCCCTTTAGAAATGTAATTTGTCAGGCTATAAATGACTTCTCATTCAATTAAAGCGTAGACATGATGGTTTGTCACGGCTGGGTTGGCGAAAGTGGCTGCAACATGTGCATCACTACACTGTATCTTTTTAAGGGATATATGGAGCTTTTCTTATTTCAAAGTTGTGATGAAAGACAAGAAGAAGTGGCGGAAACGCACAAATTTGAGTCAATGAAAACGGGAATTCTTATAAACGTGATTCAGTAAAGGAACAGAAGATAGAGGTGAGCAGGGTCTGCTGTCTTGATTCTGCCTGCCCCACTGGCACCACTTTGCACTGAACATAAATCAACAACATGAGCCACCGGCATCTAACGTGTGCAACCGTCAGTTTTCAGTCGGTACCTGAAGGAGACGGAAACAACTGTGACATGAGGTCCAACTGACGAAAGCAGACAAGGTTGCATGTATGGCTTCCTAATTTCCTACCGTCTGGAGCATCTAATTGAAACCTTAACTTTGGAACACCTACGTTAAATTTAAAGTTAAGGGTACCTAAGTCTAATCTAAAGTTTGGGGTATAAGTCTAATCTAACAATTTGAAGCACCAAATCTAATCTACAGTTTGGAGTACTCCTGTCTAATTTTAAGTTAGGAGCACCGCAGTGTGATCCCAAGTTTGTAGCACCTAATTATAATCTTCCTTGTCATTGTGTCAACTGGCTGTAAACTCAGGCGGAAAGTTCTAGTCGTTCATCCACTTTTGGACATTTAGTCTTTTTCAGGAACTTGTGTATGCGTGAATATCCGTTTTACAGCTCTGGTTTTTCGAATGCAGACTTTTGGTTCCTCGCTTCTTATAAAGATGCAATCCGACTGCAGGAACCACCCATAATTAGTCGACTTGTTAGATTGGACGTGCACCTATTCCCCCCCCCCCCCCATCCTAGAATTGGGCCCCAGAACCCACACGGGGATAACAATAATCTAAAATCCAGGAGATGTGCACAGACGATCTGTTATGTCAATGTTCTTGAACCTGTAGGCCACGACCTACTGGCAGTCCGCAGAAAAGTCCCATGAGCCACCAACAAATTCTGCTGAATCTCTTAGCCAGGTAGGGAAGGTGGTTTTTCTCTTCCAGTATGTTGGGCCCCAGAACCCACACGGGGAGAGACTTCAGAGACTTCCTATTTGTGTTAGAAGACTACAACTAAACGGAGAAATATAACGGGTTTTACTGTAACGCTTCGTATATCAGAAACGCTGCTCTAGCCACACATATCAATATTGTTTAAACCCTAAGCAGCAGCAGATGTCACATTAGCAGAAAATGTTAAATTTGTGACATCGATTGCAACGAATAAACCCCGTCTACATTTGTTTCTGTTTCTGTATTTGATTAGCTGTCCGGTGGGCTGCGAGACAATTTTTGCTTTTTCAGGGTGGTGGGGGGTGGAGGGTGTAAACAGGTTGAAGAACACTGTATTAAAGCACAACAAGAATAACCCGTGCAGATTCATTACGAACTTCCCCTGGAAGTTTCACCCATTCTATCCCTGTGTTCCGTGGTGTAGCGGCTAGACGTTCACTTGCGGATCCGAAGATAGTGGGTTCGGGTCCTGACGAAGCCGGAAGATTTTCGAAGGTGATCTTTGCTCCCAGGTCGACGCAGCCTAAAATGGATACCAGGTAAAGTCGTTGAAGTCAAGGCGGCCGGCGCGATGTTGACTACATCAACCACCGAGTACCGATTGATCTATAAAATATAGGTCTAGTCCCTATATGCCCGAAACACCCGAAAGCGTAGAAAAGTGCCCTATATGCCCAGTACCCCTGAAGACGTGGAACAGGGTCCCTTATTTTCTGCCTTCGTAGTCGCCATGGTGGTACGACTAGAAGCTTGCCTGCTGATCGAAAGCTCGTGGGTTCGGGTCCTAACGGAGCCTGACTTGTTTTGGGGGGCCGCGTTAGCGCAGTCGATAGCAGACTCGCTTTCGAATCCAGCTGCGACTCGCTGCAGCCCACTGCCGGTGTTCGAAACGGAGCGGTTCCCGAGGTTCACCCAGCCTCTAGGAAATGGGTACCAGAGTTAACACTTTGGGGTAAATGGAGGAACGTCACTGTAGTTACGGAGTTGCGTGCGGACGGCGACACAGGCGGACAGTTTCTTAACTGCTGTCCGTACTGGTGGCAGAGCACTTATGGTTTATAACCGTGTGCAATAAAGCTGGTTCACATCTCCCGACTTTACCTTTACTTTCTGCTATATCTTTGTCATCTTTCGATTTCTCATTTGTGGCCAAGGAATTCTTATTATTATCTGTCCTTTTCTGGACAGCCATTTCTTCATTAGAAAGGAACCCCTTTATGTCTTTTATGTATCGAGTACATAGTGCCATATCTATCGATTTCTTTTTTAAAAACCAATCTGGGTGGCAAATAGGGTGAGCGTCAGACCGATCGATTCCACTTCTTGTGACTGTATCTGGTACTCATTCAAGAGGATCTACATGGCAGACAAGATCATTTTGGAGGGTAAGAGGGGCAATCTGGCTCGATTAGAATTTGAACCCACGACTTTTGCGTTTGCGGACGTGCGTTTAGCCACTACACCACATCGTCTCCCCATTTCCGTTTAGTCATTGCCTGTTTAGTCCTGCATCTTAGTTTCAGGAAGCATCAAATCGACTAGATAAGTTAGAAAAATGGAGGTTTACCTGTCGTGTGCACGTGTAGTAGAGACAACGTGTGATGTATGTCGTTCGTCTGTCTATATATTTGTGTGCAAATATTGTGGTCACGAGGTCACCGAGGAGGCGCCCTAAAGTGGAGATGGACTGATGACATTAAAAACATTTTAACTTATGGCTTCTGGATACTAAAACAAACAACAAAGACATTCTACATTTATGCGGAATGCCTCTGTGTGTCTAACCTTCTGTTCACCAGTTTGACTGTCCAGCTGTCCGTACGTCTGTCAGTCCATTGGTCTATTCAATCTTATATCTCTTTATCTGTCTGTTTACATGTGCCTTGTCTGACACTTCTTCCTTACATCTGTCTGTCTGTCCATTTTGGCATTCTTGTGTCTGTTTGCCAATTCTCCTCTACATCTGTCTGTTAGCTTGTCTGTCAATTTATCCCTCTGGTTGCCTTAACATTTATCTGCTATAGGGTCTCTTGTGAATGCAGATGTACGAGTATTAAAGAGAGGCGCTGCAAATCGGAACTGTGCACTTTGTCCCGTGCACTCGCCCTGGCTCCGAGTTAAACTTCACATTATTCTTCTCCTGAAAGGGAAATAACCAGGAATATTGAAAGGGGGGAGAATTTCCCGTTGACCCCAAAACAGCTGAGCAATCCACATGAAGAGTCTTACATTTGGACAAATTGGTTTTGTCCGTGACGTTAAACAAAAGCCAAACACACTGGATCAGCCTCGCGCCCATTTTCCTTCAATGGAGTCGTGTTTATGGGTTTAATCAGTTCTGACGACTCATCTCCCGCGTATTTGCTCTTTTGCAACTGGCGGGCTTTGCAAAACTGTAAACAATACATGAATAATATTTGTTCGCATCTTTTACGCTCAGATTTGTTTTTATTTTACAATAGCAGTCCATTGTGCGGTAAATATACTGGACGTTTAGTGTGTCTCTGTCATCAACATCAGCGGCAAGGTCAGTGCTCAAGTGAGCCGGTATTGTTCCTTTGTGACGAAGCCAAATGTGATGAAAGGGAGCCAGGGTGAACGGGGGGGGGGGGGGGTGGTGTTGTTGATAAAAAAGAAGGACATGATAGTCTGATGGTACTAATATGTGAAAGAATGGGGAATGGGAATTCGACAGGAGCACTTACACAAAGAAGACACATGGTGTGTGTGTGTGTGTGTGTGGTTGGGGGGGGGTGTTGATTTGATTTGCTAAGGGAAAGGTTTGCTGTACACAGGTACCTCCATAAGTACTACAGTCTCCGATAAGATTACTCAACAAAGTTAACAACGCAACCTAGTTTCATACCAGTGAGAAGGGAAATGGGCATCACAAGTGAATTTCCACACACAAGGACAACACCTATATCATGTATATCAAGGTCAATGGGAATTGTTTTAAGATGGCACTCAGACGGGTTGTCACTAACGGGCTGTGTGAGGCATGGTGTCAGTCTCACGTGCTAGAGGTTCCGGGTTTAATCCCCGGTAAGGGCTGCGATTTTTTCACGTAGACTTAAACTTCTAGAAATTTCCCCTGTGTTGCACACGTAGAAAATTCCTTGGCAATTGGAAATCGAAAAGAATAGCCTAACGATTATGTTTGCTAAGAAATGTTAGCTGTTCGAAAACTAGTGGCTTGGCCCGGCACTTTAAATACTTTAACAGAATCTAGACAAATTCTAGGAAGATGGCAGGAATACTGCAGCGGAATGTATGATATGAATGACAGTGAGGATATGAATGATATACATGAACCAGTAACAGTAGAGGCAGAACCTGAACCTTCATTAGATGAAATTTCATGGGCAATAAGGAGCCTGAAAAATGGTAAATCACCTGGATGTGATGAGATACCAGCTGAATTGATTAAAGCGGGAGGAGAAGAAAGCATAAAAATCTATCATGCATTATGTGAAAAGATATGGAAATATGGTATTTGGCCAAAAGACTGGAAGAGAACTATCTTCATTCCAATACCAAAAAAGGGTGACCTGAAATTATGTACAAACTATCGAACTATTGCCCTGATCAGTCATGCAAGTAAAATTCTACTAAAAATTATAATGAGAAGACTGCAAAAGAAAATGGAAGAAGAGATTAATGTAGCTCAGGCTGGATTTAGACAGGGAAGAGGAACAAGAGATCATATATTCAACATGCGTTTAATAATAGAGAAGTGTAGAGAATTTAATGTAAATCTGTTCTTATGTTTTGTGGATTATTCAAAAGCATTTGACTGTGTACGACATCAGAAGCTTTGGGAAATCATGAGGAATATGGGCTTTCCATCACATATAGTGCAGCTCATTAAAATGCTCTATCAAGACCAACAAGCAGCAGTCAGAATAGATGGAGAGACATCAGACTGGTTTGGCATCAAGCAAGGAGTCCGTCAGGGATGTGTGCTGTCACCGTATTTGTTCAACCTGTACGCCGAAAATATAATGAGAAATGTAAGAGATGATATAAACAAGGAACAATATGATGCCCTAAACATCGGTGGTCATGAAATACCAGAAATTCGTTATGCTGATGATACAGTATTACTATCAACATCACAAAATGGTTTAGAAAACTTATTAACCTCACTCCAAAGAAATAGTGAAAATCATAACTTATTTCTTAACACAGCAAAAACAAAGATAATGCATACAAACAAAACTGCCATGGAGAAGGAAATATATGTTAATGAGGAAAGATTGGAAAGTGGTGGAAAATTTCGAATATCTTGGGTCACTGGTTACCAACAATGGTGACACAATGAAAGAAATTAAACGGCGACTATCAATTGCTCTTCAAAGACTAAAACAAACTGAATAAATTATGGAATTGTACAGATAGAATTACAAAGGTCAGATTTTTAAGAGCATGCATCTTTCCCATTGCAACATACGCCTGTGAGACCTGGACACTTACTAAACAAGCGGAACAGCGCATAAATGCATTTGAATATAAATGTTACAGACAGGTTCTAAGAATATCTTGGGTAAAGAAAAGAACAAATGCATCCATACTTCAAGAGCTGAATATTGAAGAGGGTTGGCTAGTAAAGACAATAAAACAAAGAAAATTGAAATATTTTGGTCACTTGAAACGTCATGGAGGTCTAGAGAGAACAATAATGGAGGGGTATATGCCTGGAAAGAGAGGAAGAGGAAGGCCAAGGAGAAGATGGGTGCAGGATGTGGCAGATGATCTCCAGATGGGTGTATCAGACGCAGGACATCTTGCTCATGATAGGAAGGTTTTCCGGAGGGTTGTTATGGCAGCGAGGTTCCGCGAGGGACATGCTACTGAATGAATGAATGAATGGCCCGGCACTCTAGTACCGAGTGAAGGTTGTTGTGAAGGGTGCTGGTATGCACTATACACAACACACATCTATATAGATAGACGTGTACAATTATGTGTGTGTATAAATGAATATAAAAAAATATATATGTGTGTATTTGTGTCTGGTGTGTGTGTGTGTGTGTGTGTGTGTGTGTTGGTCTCCCTTCATTTATCACACACTGTGAATGCTCACCTTTTAACAAACGCTTCCGCCGCCCCCCCCCCCCCCCCATTTCGAACGTTACATCGAAGGCATAGCCTAGCAAAATGTTCAGTTCCCATCTCGTTACCTTCGTCACCACAGCAGTCCAAGCTGACCGTTTCAACCACACGAGTATGTAGGAAAAACGACAGAAAAAAAAGGTAAGACAAAGGTACATGTTAGTTTTACAAAATCGTTTACAACAAAGGACTCTGAGGTGACTAGCCTTCATCAACAGATTGACGAGGAGGAAAGAAACACAAGCCCCCCCCCCCCCCCCCCCACACCCCCCCCCCCACACACACACACACACACACACACACACACACGCTCACAACTAGACCGATTATATTATTCAATTAGAGGCAATAATTCAGTTCAGTCCTGAAACCATTCACTTTCACGTAGGTCGGCAAGCAACAATCTGTGCAACGTTGTACAAGCAACAATGTGTGCAACGTTGTACAAGCAACAAACTGTGCAACCTTGTACTGGGATTCCCCGCTGACCAGCCAGAAAATGGCACCGTGCAGGTTGTTTACGAGGATGTTTCTGTGAGTATACCAACAGGCAACAATGTCACAGATGAGCTGGTGTCTATGACGTTTGTTTGAAGCCGACGGAAAATCTAGTTATTTTGTTCTAGGAGGATGAATTTAAGCAGCTAAATATGCCGGTAGCGACGGTAATTCACACAGACATGTCTAGAGTATTGTACATTTATGTTGACACTGGATATACCGTTTCTTTGCCTTCTCCCCTTTCCTTTTCTCCTCGAGAGGAGGTGTGTGTGTGGGGAAGGGGGATGGAGGGGGAAGGGTTGAATCTCATTTACGTGTCGGAAACTTTTCTTTACATAGTCGTTAACAGACGCCATGAAATATGAGATTTGACAGTATATTCGGTAAAACTGACTTGGAAGCTACATGACTAGATTCCATCATTTTGACGACATCAGAGGCACACATTAGTGGTTAGTGCACTCTACTGTCACAGCAGTGATACGGGTTCCAATCCTCAGATAAAGTGGAATTGTTTTGGTTTTTTATGGGAGGGGGAGTGGTGTACAACTCTGTAGTTGACCTTATCTTATCATCATTATCATGTGCCCTGCCAACTGGCGTAGGCGCTAGGCGTCTCCACAGATCACGATCCCTGGTTGCCTGGAACAGCTCTCTTGGTGATATCCCTCCATGCCATCGTTTCAGCCCATCCAGCATCTTCTCTCTTGGTCTGCCTCTACCCCTTTTTCCACTGATCTTTCCAGTTGTCACGATGTTCTCCAATATCTCTCTTCTCATTATGTGGCCACATAACAGTGTTTGTCTCCTTCTAATCTTATACAGTTTTACCATACAATGTTCATCATCATCATCATCCTGTGGTGTCATTATACGTCACAAGAAGCTAGCATTGTATTCCCCCATTCCGAAGCAATCTCTTTGATGTTATGGGTGCAGTTCATGTGAGCCCCTGTGGCTTCTCTCGAATAACTTGATACTACGCTAGTTATTGCCAGACACTTCTCTTATTTCTTCTATCCTCTTGAGTTCCTTCAATTTTAATACAATGTTCATATGTGTCATAAATGGAACCTGACATGTTATAACAATGATGATTATGTCGACGATAATAATAATACTCTTCTTCTTTTGTTTTCTTCGTCGTCTTCTTCTTCTCCTGCTCTCATGACTGACTGACTGACTTTCTACCCCACCAGGATATCACACAAGCGATAAACACCCGATGACACAAAGTGCCACCATGCGGATGAGGATCACCGTGGAGAGGTCCCAGAAACCGCGTTCAGACAATTGGCCATACTGATGGCCTGCCTATATTGCGGTCCCTGGCAAAAGCCAGAGTGGGGCTTCAAATAAGAAAAAATTACGTCCTGAAAAGGACGTAAGTAAGTATTATGTAGAAAACCTGCTCTCATTCTATCACAAAACTCATATAGAAGTCCAGAAGCCTTGTCGAAAGCTATCGTGCAGTCCAAATCTGTGTATCTTACACTTTTGTCTTCAATGTGGTCAGAGCAGGTCATGTGGCTTCTCTGTTAGCAGCAAACAGTGTATATCATATTGCCTATCTCAATGTTGTTATATCTAATACTGTATGTCAATGCAACATACAGCGCCCCAGCAATATTTATTTCACGATCACACCACCAGTTGTCGATTATCGCCCTTACAGTCCAAGAAGTCCAGCAAACAAACACAGCAACCCCCGAATCAAGTCGACCTATCTAAGGGAAATTTGATCAATGATGTGAGGAACTCTAGTGACGTCACCCAGGCAGTACGTGACAGACTTTGTCTGTGGCCAACAGGTGAACTTGCTGTCTTCTTGTTTGTTTACTGGCTGTAATCTCTGGTGTAAAGTCTTGGTTGTTCGTCTGTTTAGACTTTGGCTTCGTGCCAGGGCGTTTTGTGGGTACATGGTTTTACTGGCTTATTTGTGTGCAGTTAGTTGTTCCTAGCAGCTCGGGTAGATGCATTCCGACGAAGGAAGACCCAATGAGTCGACTCCTACGACATGGTTGTAGGGAAAGCAGTGGTTATATTCTTGTTTTCCCCAAAATGGAGCTCCGGAACTCACACGCAGAATTTGCCTTCTAATAATCGAAGCAGAATGTGTGCTTATATCACTCACATTTATATGGACACCCTCTGGTGTTCTCACCACAGACTCACAATTTCTACATAAATAAACAAAGAGGGAACCCTAGAGGCAGCAGAAACATGTGTGTGTTTGTGTGCATTTATACACATAATATATATATATATATATATATATATATATATATATATATATATATATATATATATATATATATATATTATATATATATATATATATATATATATATATATATATATATATATAAGAACAAACAGACAATGTATTGATCGGCACACACAGAAAAGAAGTAGAAAGATATAAGTGTGTCTTTCTATCTTAATACTTCTTTCTATGAGTGCCTATCAATACACCGTATGTTTGTTTATTATAAATAATGTCCACATTTCTAGTATATTTATTTTCTTACACAACACAGTTTCAACTTGAAAAAATAAATGAGAGAAAACTTCATGATGCAACCAGTATGAATTATTAAAGTTAACAAAGTGGCAATGTATTGATCGGCACTCATAGAAAGAGGAATAGAAAAGTAAAGAAAAGTCCCGTTCTGTTCGGATTTGAATCAACGACCTTCTGATCCGCAGGGGAATATATAACCATCATGGGATGCGTGTTATTGGTGAGTGATTGAACTTAGGGATTACAACAGGCGTTTGTAGCTTCTCAAATGTGTATGCATTAGTGAATGAGGGAGGGGCAAGTCTCATGGGGCCCAGGCCAGCCCGCGACGACAGACCGGACACGAGCACACGTCTTCCATTTATGCAACATGGTCAATGTTTGTTTTTTCTTCAGAAGGAAGTGAACTGAAGTCGACTACCCGAAATCCTCAGAACTTTCTGGAAATTGTCTGGAAAGGAAAGCGGCGACAAAACAAAAAAAAAAACTGGTCAGTCTGTCTCAAATGCTGTGGTCTTCCAGGAATGTAACACGGTCAACACATACTCGATGAAGTCGGATGCGTCTGCCGAAAGACGCAAATACTCGCAGCTTTGCTGAAAACCGGCAGAACACAGTTAGGTGGCACGGTCGAACACAAAGAAGGATAAGAAGAAATACTGTAATCTAAACATTATAAATGCTCAGTACTTACATGCCTCGACCTCCTGCGGTGTTACATTATAACGGCAGGACTCACCACGGAACTACCGATATCTTTTACTTTAGCCTCTATCAGAAGGTCTTTCACAGAACGTCGCTCTCATCACGGTACTCCTGAAAGTCTCTCTTTCCCTAGCCAATTCTCCAGCCCTACGTGCTGTCACAGCCAATGCATCTTCAATGTCTTCTATCCACCTTTCAGACTTAAATATTAAGAACACAAACAAGCAGACTTGTTTTATTAGATAATAAGCCAATGACAGTTCCAGAATCACAGCAAACGGGTCATAGATGCTCCGTTTCCTGTGCCAGTTGAAACTATACAGAATGCCTGTCAATGTCCTTTGTGAACTGACATAGATTGTAGTCTCGGTAAACCTACCACCATACACACGCATAAGGCAGCCGTCAGAAGTCTAACACAAACAGTCTGGCACTAGAAAGGCAGCTCATTATTGACGTAAGCAACAGTTACAACAAATCAGTAGTTGCATACGCCGTTAATAGTATTAGGCAATCGCCATTTTCAACAAGCCACACGCAGTAGTCTCAATCTGCAGTTCACAGTACAAACCATGCTTGGCAGTCAAAAAGCACTCTAAGTGAAACCCGCAGCTCAATGGCTGAGCGACAGACTATAGATTTTCAGTCATAAGCAAATAACTTGACAGCCTTTAAAAAAAACAGTTTGTCTATCCGCCATGTTGATCCTAAGACCTGTATGATGTTTAAAGCTGTGCTCAAATTTGTATAGAACAATCGACTCAGGTTGGAGTCACGACGCTAGACTTTTATTTCCAAGCAAATTTCTTAGTATCAGTTTTAGGCTGACTCGACCTACGACCCAAGAAAATTTTTTTCTCCATATACACATACACAATGAAACACGGCAGCGTAGCGGCTAGAAACTGTCTGCCAGCCTGAAGTTCCAGGGTATAAGGCCATCTGTCTCACGGTGTTTCACATACAGCCCTTTAGTACAGTAGCTGCCTACATTGGCAAGACTGCTTTTACTTCACTTTTGTAGTGTAGGCGGGGAGTCACTGACCCTGAGGATTTAGGACCGCGTGGCTAGTGCTGTCGCCACGAACTGTACAGGTGAGGATTTTAGTTCTGCCCCCAACAGAAAAAGAAAAAAAAAAAAAACACAAACCGTACCGAGGATTCGAACCCGGGGCTCTCGCTCGAAAGCTAAGCGTTCTAACTGTTCGACCAGGCTCTGATCCGTACAACAGCAACTTCGGGACATCGTAAAATCAGTAACAGTAAAACATTAACGTGTTTATGATTCACTTATCAAACATTAGCTTTGTGATTTCATTGATATGTTCTACTAGGGGGCGAAATGGTTGCTCTGTTGATGTTGCTGAAAGTGGATCACATGTGCACATCATTCCGTCCTACTGCAGTGACGCCGCCGCAGTGATGGGCTGGAGTTTCTTCAACACAGAACACTTAGAATTGTGGTCGTAGTTTTTTTAATAAACAATAAAAGTTTACACTTAACGAAAATACCAACGAAATGCTAATCGTTTACCTGATATCGTCTTGCATTGTGTAGTTGTTAAGGAAGTATGTTCAGAATCTATGCTCTGTAAACTTATACGAACATGGTTGTACACGATCACATAACACACATACATTGTGTGTGTGTGCGCGCGCCTGCGCGCGCGTGTGTGTGTGTGTGTTAAGGGATATATATATATATATTTATATATGAGGGAGCTTTAAAAAAAAACTTAAAAAGTGTGACAGAAATTACAATAACCATGTTTCTGTCTTGTAACCTGTCAATGTTGTTGTTAAGGGTGGCAAGAATGTTAAGCACGTGAACCATGGTACAGACTAACACAGTGACATCGTGATGATAGTCTGAAGATAGCCGCCCCACGTTTGACATATACCAGAGAGGCGCAGTGTTCTATTATGTGTTTTCTTATCAGTGAAGGGGTGAAATATATAGGAATTCGTTGGCGAAGGTCCAGTATAGCGGTAGATGCCTGTCGGTCCAGAAAATGTAAGTAGAGTAGGACGTTTTGAGCATAGAGTTATGACCCTGGTATCGACTGCAGCCATTTAAGGTCTCGCTGCACATATTGAATCAGTCAAGGTTTTGCACACAATATCAGTGACCTGCTACAGTCTGCGGTATAGAACTGATCTAAACTAATAACAGAAAGCTGATCCTCTTTGATGAATGTTAAAAGTGGGGCGACCAAATTTAAACTGTCGTTATGACGTCACGGTGTTCCTCTGCCCTAAGATGTCACGTGTGTAACACTCTTGACATCCCTGACAACACTGAAAGGTTACAAGACAATGTTACTGTAATTTCTATAACTTCGTGTGTATTTGATTTTATGCAATCGACGAGCAATTTATTCAAAGGGAGGAAACTGATAATTCAAGCAGGCAAGATAGAATTCTCACGAATTATAGGCCTTTACATGTTCCCGCCCAGGAATAGACCAAAGAAACTAGTGGTTTCTCACATGCACAGGACTGCAGATTATCTCAATCTGGTACGATGATTTTGGCGCACCAGTTATTTCTTCTCTGAAGGCTGAACTGGATATCTGGGATTTGCCCTGCTGGTCTGGTAGCCATACTAAGATACTTTTAATCTCAAGGTGTGAAACCTTTAGGTTCCCTGTGTGTGTTCCAGGGCCCATTGTGGGGAGAACAAAAATAGTCTCATCGCCGCCCCAACAAGCATGTAATAAAGAGTTGACTAATTAGGGGTTTCCTTCGAAGTCGGACTGCCTATGCCTAAGAGGCAAAGGACAAACAATTTGCATACAAATAAGGTAGACCTGTAAAACGGATATTCACACAACACTCAGGTTCTGGAATAAGACTAAAGTCCAGAGATGGGCGAACAATCAGAACTTGCCGCCAGAGTTTACTGTCAGTGATTATGAAGAAAAAACCTTTACGTGGCAGACCCACACACACAAAAAGGGGGAAAGGGGGGGGGGGCACACATGCACGCACGGAAAAAACTAGAAATATTTGACAATTAAATGGCATTTTGTTGACCTAGTCAGAGATGCATTGTTACCTAACCAACACGGAGCAAAAAGATAACATTAAATTCTTTTTAAAACTCAGAAAAGGTGCCCTTGAAAAAACTGCATTGATGCAACAAGTTTATGGGGATAACTGTTTATCTCGTGCACCCATTTTCAGGTGGTATTCACAATTTAAAAGTGGTGTGGAAATGATTACTAATGCACCTAGACCTGGACGTCAAATTTCTGTTCGTAATGATGAACTTGTTGCAAAAGTGAGAGAACAGATACAAGAAGATCATTGTTTTACTGTGAGGATGATGGCAGATGAATCTGGTGTTAATAGAGACCCTTCATAAGATTTTAGTGCAACATTTTGACAAGAAAAAACTTGCTTGCTGGTTTGTTTTATTGTCTCATGACCGAAAACATCAGTGGGTTAAGTACCCAAGAGACATCAACAAAATAATAATTTTTAGCCCAAAAGCAAGTGTGTATTCTCAGCTTTCCACCCTTTTCCCCAGATTTGTCTCCCTGTGATTATTTTCTATTCCCAAAATTAAAGATACGATTAAAAGGTCGCTTCTTTAACGATATTGATGACATCCAAAGGGCGGAACATCGACTTTAGGGCCATAAAAACAGAAGAACTACAGAGGTCGTTCCAGTGTTTGTTAGATCATGCCACTTGCTGTATCAATGCACAAAGGGCATACTTTGAATCAGATACAGGTTATATCTTCAACTGTTATTTTAATTTTTATGGAATTAGTCTCATTACTTAATTGTCGGACCTTGTATATATATATATATATATATATATATATATATATATATATATATATATATATATATATATATATATATATATATATATATATATATATATATATATATATATGGAGAGAGAGAGAGAGAGAGAGAGAGAGAGAGAGAGAGGGAGAGAGAGAGCACGCACACCACAATATGGTGGGGCTGAAACTTGTCAATCCGAAAGTTTCTGATTCAAATCCACAATGGGATTGGGACAAATCTGTACAATAAGGCCAGGCTCCCAGATCAACCCAGATAAAAATGGATACTAAGAAATGTCCAAGGAAATTAAGGTGCCGCATCTATCACCAAGTACTGATCGGTCAATCTTAAGTCGGCCTAGCACCCAATAAGAACCATGGTAGCCTAGTAGCTAGACACTCGTCTGCAGGCACAAAGGTCTAGAGTTTGCATCCCTAGAAAGTAACCGTTTAACAAAGGCTTGATGAAGTCACACACAAAAAAGGCGCAAATATCCCAGCTTTGCTGTGAACAGGCACAAAGCAATTACGTCACTCAGACAAACAAAAAGAAGAAGAAACAGCATCACAATTTTTTTAAGTTGACCTTGGCTGGCAGATCAAACAGCCTAAATGGGTACCAGTTAATGTCCTGGGAAGTAAAGACAGCCAATGAGTGCTGACTGGTCTAGCATCAGATGTGTGATGTGACACTGGTACAACAACAAAGGACCCTTTCATTATAGACCACATGCCCATTGCAACTATGGAATAAAAAGGGCCCTTTACTTTTACAACAACAACAAAAAAATAAAACAAACAAACCAAAAACAATAACATGAACAATTACAGCTATATGGCAAGTCAGAGGATTTATTCAGCTTATCTAATAACGAATGTATTAACAAATATTAAAAAATCATAATTTAAATAACAAAACGAGTGACAGCTGGCTAGGAAACTAGGCAAGATCAAGAATACAGATGATACCCACGGCTGACAGGCTAAGCTATATGAAAAAGGAAAAAAGCTGGGCAAGTACGTGCACACAATAATTGTTGTTTAAAGCTTCGGAGGAAACACGAACTATCACAATTGTTGAAATGTGAATTTAAAAATAATTATTTTTAATAGTGTTAGATAAATGGTTAAATAACATTTAAAAAGACAAAACAGGAAATTAAAAATAAAACAAATCAGGAATTGTTTAAAAGCATTAGTAAAACATTTAGAAAAGGGTAATGCTGAACAAATAATAACATAATAAACTGTCACAATAATGTCACATCAACAGTAATATGCCATTAGACAAGTTATAATATAATGTTATTATAATAATGATTATAGAATCTACCAGACACAGAAATTGTGCAAATGAATACAGTGTAAATATAAATGTAAATGTAAATGTGATCAATAAACAGGAGACAACAAATGGCTAACATGAAACTAGCACACAAGGCTGTGAGATTCATGTCATATCAAATATCAATGCACTCTCTCTTCTTTCAGACAACTGTGTATATTCAAAGCTTTATTTTCCTATTATGATTCTAAATACTGAGAAAGCAAACAATATTCTACCTTACTGTCTGGCATATTTGGCGGTTTCCTGCCAGGTGCATTAAAACAAAAGCTGGGGAAAGGACTTTTTTTTACGCCAGTGGTGCACTGGGCATACGATGCTTTATCCACTGATGGAAGACCATACTATGTAGTTTACGTTTCACAGATAACGTTGATCTCATGGCTAGTTCTACACCAGTACTCTAGGAACTTACTGCAACACTAGAGCCAGTCTGTGGTATAATGTGGCATGGAAATTATTGCTGAGGAATGCAAGGTGCTGGTAGCCAAGATAATCTACGAACATAGAACATACAGATAGAAGGGAAATAACTAGAAGAAGTTGAAACATTGAAATACCTTGCCTCCCATATATTTTTTTGATGGCAGTTGTACTTAAGCAATGTCCCAACATAACAAGAGACAATCTGAGATGTACAATGTAACAAGAGACAATCTGAGATGTACAACATAACAAGAGACAATCTGAGATGTACAGTGTAACAAGAGACAATCTGAGATGTACAATGTAACAAGACACAATCTGAGATGTACAGTGTAACAAGAGACAATCTGAGATGTACAATGTAATAAGACACAATCTGAGATGTACAGTGTATCAAGACACAATTTGAGATGTACAGTGTAACAAGGCACAATCTGAGATGTAGTGTAACAAAAGACAATCTGAGATGTACAGTGTAACAAGACACAATCTGAGATGTACAATGTAACAAGAGACAATCTGAGATGTACAGTGTAACAAGAGACAATCTGTGCATTTCACCTGTTAGATTTCATTACATGTTGACAAAAACTGTAGTATGCACCCAATGTGTTCCAGCAGAATATGCCAGCCAGTATAAGTTGTGCAATATATCATGTGCACATTATTTAAATGGTGCACATCTTGGCTGCTTTATCAAGCGTTCAGTGTTGAGCAAAGAACTAATATCACAGGACTCAAGACATTCCCAAAAGTGCCCTGTCCCCATCTTTAGCAGCCAGTGAAAAGTTTCAATCCTGATGGTTCCAGTAACTTTATCAAATACATAGTATCTCATATTTCCGC